TCCCTCCTTTGCTTGCAGCTGAAGTACGGCGCATGTGCCGTGAGGCGTGGAGCTCATGGTGGGGCTGGTCACCTCCTACGAGCGCAAGATGCAGCTCGCCCTGCGCAACGTCCTGGCCCGCGCCGCCTCCGCGTCCGCGTGCGCCTCCGCTGCCGCTGCCGCCGGGGGCTCGCGCGCGGGCGGCGCCGAGCTGTTCGTACTCCCGGAGGCCTTTCTGCTCCAGGCGTGGGGACGGCCATGTTGACTTCTGTCTGGGGCCCTTCTTCCGCTACGGCCAACAGTTTTAAGTGTAGAGTTCTGTCTGGGGCCCTCCTTCTGCTTTTTCGAGTCGCACAAGTTGTCAGCTCAGGACCGGGACTTGTGTGACTCTTGACTTGTGGCTTTCTGGGACTTGGCCAACTGCAATAGATAAGCCATGTGACGCAAGCTTTGTTGTCAAGGCTTGCCTGTTGGGACTTTCTTGGACTGCAAATTTGGGCTTTCCGCGGGTTTCCGCGTCTTTAAGACCTGAGAAGCTTGCATTTGGCTAACACATTGAGTCTCAATGTGCTTTATCTCAACGTTGGAGTTCCACGATGTCAGGCCAACTTACCTAAAGACTTGAATCACTTGAATCTTTTGCTTCAGATTTGGTGTTCTTTTTGGAGGGCACCCTCTTTGGTAGGTTTCAAGGTAAACCAACAGAGAGCCAATAGTTATGGGGATCCCAGTCCTTGTCTTAGCACGTCTTCTTTTTTTTTGGGTGTTTTTTGCCCCTGGTCGTTTTTGTGTGTTTCAAAGGGAAGCCACAAACACGAAGCATCTTTTTGTTGGGGGGCAGGTCCCGAGTTTTAACTCCTGTCATTTTGAGACAGCGGACACAAAAAAGGGCTCCCCTTTTTTTTGACCCCCCCCATTATTTTTTCGACCCCCCTCCCTTTTTCTAACCCCCCCCACAGTAGCATACCAACCCCCCCCATCTCTTTTTTAACCCCCCCCCCCGCTTGTCTACCCCTTTTCCCTTTATTTGACCACTTCCACAATATCCCCACATTTAACATCGGAACCATCATTTTTGTTGACCCCCCTTATTTATCATACTAACCACCCCATCTCTTTTTCACCCCCCCCCCCCCGCGTGGTCTACCCCTTTCCTTTTTTTGACAGCCTCCACCACATCCTACATTTATTTTAACCCCGGAACCATCATTTTTTTGACCCCCTTATTTATCATACCAACCCCCCCCATCTCTTTTTTGACCCCCCCCCCCCCGCGTGGTCTACCCCTTTCCTTTTTTTGACAGCCTCCACCATATCCCTACATTTATTTTAACCCCGGAACCATCATTTTTTGGACCCCCCCTTATTTATCATACAACCCCCCCCATCTCTTTTTTAACCCCCCCCCCCCTGGGAACCATCATTTTTTTGACCCCCCCCCCCCTCCCCTCTTATTTATCATACAAACCCCTCCCCCCCATCTCTGTTTTGACCCCCCCCCCCCCATCGTCTACCCCTTTACCCTTTTTTGACAACCTCCGCCATATCCCTACATTTATTTTAGCCCCGGAACTATAATTTTTTTGACCCCCCTATTTATCATACCACCCCCCCCCATCTTTTTTAACCCCCCTCACCCGTCTACCCCTTTACCTGTTTTTGACAACCTCCACCATTTATATTAACCCCGGAACCATCATTTGTTTGACCCCCCCCCTTAATTCTCATACCAACCCCTCCATCTCTTTTTTAACCCCCCCCCCCCCTCCCCCCGGGAACCATCATTTTTTTGAACCCCCCCCGCCCCCCCCCCCTCCTATTTATCACGCCAACCCCCCCCCCCCCCCCATCTCTTCTTTAACCCCCCCCCCCTCCCCCCCGCGTGATCTACCCCTTTCCTGTTTTTTGACCACCTCCACCCGCGTGATCTACCCCTTTCCTGTTTTCTGACAACCTGCACCATATCCCTACATTAATTTTATCCCCGGAACTATCATTTTTTTGACCCCCCTTATTTATCATACCAACCACCCCATCTCTTTTTTAACCCCCCCCCCCCCCCCCCCGCGTGATCTACCCCTTTCCTGTTTTTTGACAACCTCCACCACATCCTACATTTATTTTAACCCCCCCCCCCCCACTCGGCTCCCTTTTTTTGACACCCCAATTTTTTTGACCACCCTCCCTTTTTCCACCCCCCCATAGTAGCTAGCATATCAACCCCCATCTCTTTTTTAATACTCCGTTACCTTTCTGGACCCCTTTTACAATATTTTCCCACGTATATTTTTAACACCTCTCCGTCTTTTATTTAACCCCAAGTTAATTATTTTCACATTGGGCTCATTTTGATTGCCCCCCCCGTAACTGCTTGTCGACCCCTCCGCCCCACAAGGATTTCAGAGGGCATTTCTGATTCCTTCTAGGCAGCCGCGTAAGATTTTGTGAAACCTGTTCCAGCTGAGGGTTTGAACTAGAGAGACTAAACAGTGTCATGAGTTGATGAGCTTGGCATGTAGCAGCAGATGCGAGCCCTGAACAACGATGATGCCCTTTTTTCTCGGAAGCATACGAAGGGTCCTTCTTCTAAAAACGGCCGCAAACTTTACAGGGCAAATATCCGTTTGCAATTTGTCGGATGAGAGTCTATTGCCGAAATTGTTGGCTAAGTTTTCAGGGTTACTTCACTTTTTCATTCACAAAACAAAAGCAACAAAGTGCCAGCTAACTTTTCGGGTCTTACTTCACGATACTAAAAACGGGAGCTAGCATCACTACCCTAGAAGCAACACTTCGAAAGCGCGCGGTAACCTTTCAAGCGTTACTTCACTAACTGAAAGAACAAGTGAATCCTTGTCCTGTCCTTGTCTCTTTTGAAGCCCTTAGTCTTCTGTTTCGGGGCGTGTAGGATCGACGGAGCTATCGAAACGCTCCCCATCGCGGGGATCGGGCGGGTGGATGTGCAAGAGCCCGAGTGTTTGGCAGCTGTGTCTTGACAGCGGCGAGCCCAACGCGTGGATCGGCGTGGTCAATGCGCTCTCTCTGTGACGCCGCGCGAATTGTCTTCTTTCTCGGTGAACCCTACGCGGGGATCGGACGGGTCGATGCGCTCTCGCTGTGGCGCCGTGCGAGCTGTCTTACTGTTGGCGTCGGGCGGATCGACGCGCACCTGCGGTGGCGCCGTACGACGTGTCTGGGTCTTGGCGAACCCGGGGATCGGGCGTGTCCAAGCGATCTCGTTGTGGCGCCGTGCGAACATGCAGAATGCTATTCTGCAACTGCGAAGGGAAAATCGGGCTGTCTTGCAAAGAAGAAAATTTAGAACATGGCGGGGGCCGTTTTGAGCTCTCCTGAGAGCGGGAGGGCAGGAAGATGAGCGCAAGGTCAAAGGGAGCATTTGCAGTTTGCGCAGTAGTTTGAGGTCTAGACAAGAACATTGTTTGCCTTGCAGCTGCTCATTGCATCGGACTGTTGTGGGCTGTCATCGTGGAACTCGCAACAAGTGAAGCTGTGTGAGCTCTCAAGCTTTTCGGCTGACTTTCAATTCGAAGTCCGTGCTCGGTCGATGACGTCGTTGTCAAAGAGTTGCGGACTGACTTCGTTGATGGATGTGAAGGATACAGGTGATGGTCGTAAGCTCAGGCGCAGCTTGGGCTGCAGCATTTCATTGTTGGTTGCCCAGGTGGCTGCGTGGCAGGCGACTCTGTTTGCGCAGATGTACGTGGCACAGGCGCAGCGCTTTCGCAAGCTGGCAATGGCCTTGGGCTGTGCGCTGACGGCTTTTATGGCTGCAGGCTCAGAGGCGTGGGAGGACGGCAAGGCGCTTGGAAGCTGTTCGGAGCCACATGTGTATGTAGGTCAAGGGGAAATAAACAATGTTGCACCCCTCCACACCTGAGGCTCCGAGATGAGTGTCCCGAACATCGAAGCAAAAGCAATCCCATACGATTGGTGCGACGTGGCCGCACTCAAGACAAGCTTCACGGGGCTAGATTCTGCGCTAAATGAGGGAGAGTATCTATACCACTGGTGTCCCTTAAACGCAAGTGTCGTAGTGTTGTCCGCTTGCGTGCTGGAACCGGCTTTCCAAGGCGGGTATTTCGTTGGGCCGATGATGGAGCGGATGAAGATGGATCAGTGGTTCCAAGAAGAGATGGAGCTGGCTGGTCTCCGCCTGGGTCGGGGCCGAAAGCCAGCGAATGCAATCGCGAAATCATTGCCGTGTAGAATTGTGGCTTGGCAGCGCAGCCTTTTTTCTCTACTGATAGCTCAGGCGAGATGGGCAGGTGCTGCTCCTTGGCTGCGTGCAGCTTGTTTGCGGAAGCAGACGCGGGGAAGCTTAGCAAGTGCGTCCATTTCGCTGATCCGAGGCTCCGATGGACTTACTCCGGATTTTGATGCTAACGCAGTTCCGCAGAACTGGTGAGCCGTGGCTGCATGTAATCTGCGGAGAGGCAGCGCGTGTGCACTAGCTGTCCTTGCCAACGATGTGACTTATAATAAGGCTGGCGCTTCATGGAGCCTATCCTTGAGCGGCTGAAGGGAGAGCACCTCCGCAATTGGTGTCGCTTTCATGCATCTAAGCAAAAAGTTGCAAAGAGCTTCCAACATTTGTCAGTAGGTGGCTATTTCGTGGGCCCGATCTTTGAGCGGATGCAGCTGGAGCACGCCAAGTTTCTGGGTCGCGAGACCGGCGAGCGCTGCTTCTTGGCTGGGATTGCCAAGGCTGGTGCTTGTTTTGGGGGGGCGTGCGTGTGATCATCCAAGGGGTGAACTGTGGATTCGGGCTGCGCAGCGTTTACTTCAACACCTGCCCTGGGATCTACGATGCTGGCATGAGAGCCCAGTTGACCGAAAGCAGCTGTTGGCTCTTGCGTTTGTCACGAGTAGTTTTCGCAGCGTGTCTGGTGCAGGCCCAACAAGGCTCGGGGTGGAAGATTCTTGGTGTAGCTTTGGCAGCACTATGAATAGAAGCATGTGAGCAGACCAAGCAGAAGTTGACAACAAGCACGCTTGCCAAGGTGACAAGTTCTGCTGGAAGATCATTACACGCATCGTGTCCACGTCGAACACGAAGCTGTCTGCCAGCCAGTCTTGGCGCAAGCTTGGCCGATCCAAGTTCTACTGTGGATCGGTCCCGGGACGCGCGGGCGAAGGTCCACGTGCCGAGGCCAAAGCGCAGGGAGAGGACAAGACGACGACTCTGTCCACTGGGAGACGGTGGGAGGACTGGCGGACGCTCTCCAAAAGGCAGAGGCAGAGGAGGAGGGAGGGTGTGTACTGGGACAAAGTCTTGGAACATGCTGAGAAGCAGTTGAGGAGGCAATGGATTGTTAGGCGTTGGAAGGAGGCAAGAGACTTCTATGAGGCCATTGAGGAGCATTTGAAGCGGGTAGCAGACAAGAAAGAGTCCAGCGATGAGCCGGCGCCAGCTTTCCAGGAAGCCCACAAGAAGCGTTCCCTCAAGACGGCCAGTGACACGCAAGCCCCTGTGCGGATGTCCCATGTGTGCTTGGTAGATGCTTTGAGGTCACTGGGTGTCAACGTTCCGTACACAGAGCACGGGCCCTTGCGGGCCTTGCGAGATGGCAATCGGCTGCTGCAACCGCATGGGACGCTGTGGCAGCATGAGTCAACATGACCTTTTGTTGGTGTGTGTGTGTGTCGCTTTGGCTCTGGAGACAGGTTTGCTGAAAGGGGTCAGGTTTCTCCCGCAGCCACATGTGACAGAGTTAAGGCTACAGCTGCAGCACGTGAACGATGTCTCAGACATGTTGCCCGGGAAGTATGTCATTTTCTGTTTCAGCCACTTCACAAGCCTGCAGATTTGGGAAGACGGTGAATGCATGATTCGCCCGACATGTCGGCGTCACATCGGAGTTTCCAAAACATGGGATGCTGGCATTTTGGCAGGTGGATACAAGGCCGTGTTCAAGCTGACCTCGAACAAAGAAACTACCGCAGAATGTCGATGTGCTTGGCGGCATGGAGGCGGTTGAGGCTGACGGGATCTCCGCGAGGGTCAATCTGGGCAATGATGGGGAAGTGGCTGAGCTGGACTCACGTGGTGACGCAGCAGGCGAGGTGTGCCCAAGCGTGCCTCGTGTGGGGGAGCGAGTAATGGTGCTGAAGATGGAGTGGCTGAAGTCCATCTTGAGCGGCGAGAAAACCCTAGAGCTGCGAGGACAGCGTGCCAAAGTGGGAACCGTGTGGCTTGGCAATGGGGCAACAATATATGGGTCTGTTGACATCGAGAAAGTTGACCAGCTGGATATGGATTCATTCGTGCAGCTCCGGCCCGCACACTGCTATCAAGGCACGTCCTTGCCGTACGCAGCGACATATGGACTTTGGCTGCGCAGCACGAAGTTTGTCAAAGCCAATTCCATTTTACAAGTTGTTCGGGTCCATCGGGTGGGCAGTCGTGAGGTTCAGCGCTCGCGATCTGCCAGCGCCACGGAAAATGTCAGCAGAAGCCCAAGAAGCAGATGCGCGAGCAAGCAAACAAGCCGGATTGGACACCGCTTTGACGCAAGCGCCCGAGCTCGCGGGTGAAGGGGGTATGTGCAATGTGGGAAACTCGTGCTACCAGAATTCTCTTTTTCAGGCCTTGCTACACTCATCGTCACTAACAACTTTGGTCACCAACCATTTAGCGCAACAGAGACCCTGCGACAGCGAATGCCTCCTGTGTCTGCTGAAGATGACAAACGTCGCGCGGTCAGCAGGCGGAGCTGGTCGCCAGGTTATGGAGTCTTGGGCACCAGCACTGGGCAAGTTTGGTTACGTGAAAGGTCAAGCAGACAGTCCCTTGCCCTTGGCTGACACTTTGTGTGACGCAATCAGCGCTTTTGATGTGCCCGGGCTTGCGCAGACAAGTTTTGCTGTATGTTGTTGTGAAATGCTGTGCTTGTTGGAGCTAGTTAAATTAATTGTTAGTTTGATTAATGTGTAGACACATGGGCAGTGTGGCAAGGAAGTGCGAGACTTGTCTCCTGCAGCCACCAACGTCATTCTGGACAGAGAAAGGGAGCGAGTGTGCCGCAATGAAGCGTGCAGGTTATTCCAGGCTGAGCTGCGCGACACGAGACAGGAAACAAATAATGTGATATACGTGTCCAACAGTAATGCAACAGTGACACACCTGAGCGACTTGGTGCAGCAGCAGTGGAGCGAAGGCGCTCTGCAAGATGGGGTGAGATGCGAGAGCTGCAAGAACACCGCGCAGATACGGGAGAGAACAGTTCCAAAACATCTGCCAAGCACACTGCTCTTTGGTTTCCCAAGGCCTGTGCCGCACGGTGGTCGTTGGCAGCGCAACCATTTTCCAATCACTTGTGCAGATGACATTCGAATGCAAGGGGTGGACTACACATTGGCTGCGCTGGTTGAACATATCCCGACAACGGTGGGACATGCGGACGGTGGACACTATGTGGCTTGGGCGCGGAAGCTGAAGCACAATGCGTGGCTCAGGCTGGATGACAGTGTTGTAGAGAAGCACTTGTGGCTACCTCATTCTGTTCGCACAAACGTCGTGCTTGCTGTCTATGAAAGACAGAAGCCGACCGAGCTTCCTGTTCAGCCCAGCGACCGCCTCAGCTCTGAATTGAGTGCAGCTCCTTCAGCAAGCACGAGGCCTGGAAGTGCAAGACCACCCTGCGCTGCCGCGCAAACATTTGCATCAGAACACAACGCGTGCGAAGGTGACACGGAGTGTGAGTTCAACAAGCTGGCTGCAGACTTTTATGGTAAGCTTGCCACTGCGAAGTCTGTGGAGCAGTGCTTGGCAGAGATGCCCACGCAATTATCATGTTGGGCTCGTATGTCCCTGGAGGAGTCCTTGCGCAACTTGCGAGAAGGCTTGTGCAATGTGAAGCGTGAGTCACTTTCCGCGCAGGATGAAGTCGATGTTTTTTTGCCAATGTGGCGCACGATGCCTTTGGCGTTTGCTCTGGTGTTTGAAACATTGTCCAGGGCACTGTCACTGCCTTTCGTTATGCTGTGGGACGCCTTCAAGGTAGTGCTCAGCAGCTTGCTGCACAAGGACCTGGCGATCCAGTGGCAAGAGTACGACATGCGCCACAGATACTGGGCAGTTGTAACGTCTGATCCAGGGGCAGGAAAGAGCCCAGCGTTGAACTTCGTCATGAGCTGCTTGCTGGAGGCAATGGACGACCTGGAGGACCAAGCAACCTTTCCAGGCGTTCCCGAAGACAATTTTCACATTGTCCACGACAGCACGCATGCAGCGTTTGCTGCGCGCCTCAACCGCGCGCAAGGTTACGCGCTTTTGGCCTCGCCAGAGAGTGCAACTACGTTGTGTCCAAAGTTTCCAACGTCGGGAGAGTTTTCAAAGACGAGCCACATTGACTTAGAGAGGTGCTTGGAAGGTGCGTCAGGCGGTGCCATACATTGGGACACGCAGGAGTCAGTCCTCAACAGAGCAAGAAACGCGCGGTGCCAGGAGCAGCTGCCAGATAAGGGTGTTCATCACGACAGCACGAATTTTGCGTTTGTGCTCTTTCAACAAGTATCCATGCTGCAATCTTGGTGGGCTCAAGGCGAAGCTCGTTGGAAGAAAGGGCTGACGAACAGGTTTCTGTTCAGCACTGGAAGGCGTCCAATCGAATGTCCTGTGGCTCCTGGCATGACCCAGAAGCTAAGAAAATATTTGGTCAATTTCTTGCGCAAGGTTGCCAAACAATATGGGGCAGCAGAACAGCCAAGGGCCGCATGGAAGTTGCAACCTGCAGTCCATGATGCGTTCTTGGAGGCCCGCGCTATATGCAACGAACTGGCTCAGGAGAAGGTCTTTGCAGATGGCGGGAGTTTGCATTCCATGCTGGAAAAAGTGCCGTATTGGCTCTGCCACGAGGGCTTCATGAATGAAGTTCTTTTTCGGTTGACAGCGGACATAGCTTACCCGGGTCAACCGCAGGCGCAGCTTGGAAACTATGTAAGCCAGATCAGCGGGCAATACGCCCTGGAATTTGTGCACCTACGCTTAGTCCAAGCCTCAGTTGCAACAACCAGCACACCCCTCTGTTTACCGGAGCATGTTTTTGGGAGATTGTTTTTCGCCAGAGACACAGACACCATCAGGCATTGAGGCAAGTACAGCTCGCTGCAAGCCTTACCTGACTGAGGCACGGGGATACAACGTGCTAGACGTGGAAGTCAGCCGTGGGTCATGGAGAAGCCGCGAGGGGCAGCAAGTGCGTCGATATGTTGGAAAGTACACAAAGATGGAAGACAATTCCCAGGAAGACGCTGCTCGCCTGCTGCGGGCATGCACCGGCATGTTCATTTTTGCCGACATGGCGGCACGCCGGGTGGCCAAGTACCGCAATGTGTTCAGCTGGCACGATTCTCGGCGGGAGGACGCACACTCAAGACTTCGTCGGACTTTTGCGCGGGTAGAAAGCAATGGCTGGGGGACCGTTGAGGTGGCACCGAACGGATGGCCGGTACTTCGCAAGAAGGCCTGGGATGAGATGACTTCGGTGGCAAAGAGCAAGGTCAACGATTCCAATATCCCATTGTTTTCGTTTACGAGGTGGCCACTCCAAGAAGCAGTTGTCCCCACTTGCCCGCCGCCGGACATGCCAGCCCCTGCAGGGTGTTACTCACCACCAGTAGCAGATGTGCCCACAAATGCAGGCTGTTTACAGGCAGCTTCGTGCGCAGCGCCGCAAGTGCAGGAGTTTGTGCAAATAGTCGCATCAAGGTCTACAGATTCGAAGCCATGCATGCCGGATGCTCACAAAAGCTTAGCGCCTGTAGTGGCACCCAGGTCTACAGAGTCCAAGCCATGCATGCCAGATGCCGAGAAAGGCGAAGCGGAGACTAGGCCTTCTCGTGAGTCCGACAGCGATGCAGTCGAGGATGGCACAGTGTGGACGGAAGTCTTCTCAGGAAAGCCACGCGTTGACTTGCACGGCTATGTCAACTTACGCGCAGAAGCAGAAGCAGTTCTAGGCAAACTCAAGGACTCTGGCATCTACACTTTTAGCGATAAAGGAGACAAGGCGTCAGGTCGGCTGCGCCTAAGGGCCGTATGCAATCTTGGAGCGTGCAAAGATTGCACGCGGGTGGTCCGAGCTGCGGTCCACTACGTTGGCGGCGTGCAAAACTTTGTACTCCGCGCTCGGGGCCGTCATGGCACGCTACAGCCCCCCAGAGGCGGGCAGCTGTGGACGGTGGCAGAGCTGTATGTCATTCGACAGTATTGCGACGATTGCGATGCTCCCACTACACAGGGCATTCGGGCAGCAATGAAGAAGGCAAACTTGCCCCTACGCTGCTCAGGTGACCAGCTGCGCTCCTTTGCATTCCGTTTGCGGTCTTCCACGAACAACGTTGTCCCGCGCAAGCATACAGCTGTCACAGTTGCAGAGCTGCAGGCAGCCGCAGCCCCATATTTTTTCCCAGAAGATGGGCAGTGGGAGAAGCAGCCGCTGTCAAAGCTTTTGGTTTTGAGGGACTCAGTGTTCGGCCCGGAGCATGTGTGCGTCATGTGGACATGCCCTGGAATGTTGCGCAGAGCTTGCGCGGCGCAAGGAAAAGTAGTGAAACTTGCAGTGGATGGCAAACAAAAAGTCCTGTCCAATGAGTACACAGTTCTCACCTTATCCTTCC